CTTCCCCTTCCCTTTCCCCTTCCCTTCCCCTCCCCGCAGAGGGGCTCCTGACTCTTCTCTCTTCTCTCCTCCTGCTGCGGTTTGGGCACGGCGGGCTCAGAAGAGCCTCAGGTAACTCTCCCCGAACGTTGTGGCTGCCTCTGCCTCACCTGCCTTGCTTGGGGACCCACCTGTGGAGCGAGGGAGAGCATGTGTGCCTGGGAGTGTGTGTGTGTGTGTGTGTGCCTGTGTGGCGTATGGGGTCCTGGCCATAACCCGCCTGCCGCCTGCTCGCCGTGGGGCTTTGTCGTGGGGAGGGGACCCAGTCGATCTGGGCAAATGATTCCCAAACTCCAGCCTCCCGTGTGTTTTGGGCTCCAGCTCCCATGTGCCAGTGGGCAAGGCGCATGGGAGACGAGGCTCTAGTGGAGGTGGGGAGGGGCTGGTCCTGACGGTTCCTTCTTCTCCGCCCGCAGCTCTACACCATCTACCTGATCCGGACGGGGCAGTTTGACAAGTCCCCCGCCACCATCGCCCGGCGCTACTCGGACTTTGACCGGCTGAACCGCCGCTTGCGCCGGCGCTTCGGGGCCGACCTGGCGGGCGTCTCCTTCCCGCGGAAGCGTCTGCGGCGCAACTTTGCGGCCGAGACCATCGCCAAGCGGAGCCGGGCCTTCGAGGGGTTCCTGGCGCACCTGCACGCCATGCCGGAGGTCCGGCGCTCGGCTGAGTTCCTGGAGTTCTTCTTCCTGGAGGACCTGCGCCAGGCCCAGCGCCTCACCTGCGGCGGCCTCTACCGGGAGGCCCTGGCGGCCTGGGACAACGCCCGGCGGCTGCAGGAGAAGCTGGCCGCCGGGCACTCGGGACACTTCCTGGTCACCCTGGCCGGCCTGGCCGTCTGCCAGCAGGAGCTGGACCGCCCGGGGGAGGCTCTGGCCGTCTGCGAGGAGGCCCTTCGTCTGCTGGGGGCCCAGGACAGCCACCCGCTGGTGGGGCCCTTCCTCCAGGCCCACGTCCGGCTGGCCTGGGCCCTGGGCAGGGACAAGCGGGAGGCCGAGGCACGGCTGCTGGCCCTCCAGGAACGGGGGCCCAGCCCCCCGCCCTCCCTCAAGGAGGTCCTCATCAAGCAGACCCTGCCCTGAGGACGACGACGAAGAGGGGGAGCAGAGAGGAGGGCAAGGGGCACCTCCGGCCAGGGAGAGGGGGCGGGCATCGGGGAGGCTCGCCCCAGCCGCCCCGGCCCGAAGGAGTGGGCGCAGCAGCGGGCAGGATCCGGCTACGGGACTCCCACGCTTTGTCCTCTTTGAGGAGGAGTTGTAGTACAGGTAGAGTTAGGAAAGGCCCCAGAGGCCCACAGGTCCAGCCCCTTCCGCCAGGCAGGAAGGCACCGTCCAGCCAAGTGGACACCCAGCCTCTGAAGGAGGCCTTTCGCCACAAACATCTCAGGCGGGGCACGTGGGGGGCTTGGCTTTGTGGAGGGAGGGAGGGAGGGAGGGAGGGAGGGAGCACACCCAAAAGACTGCAGCAAGCCATGATGCCAAGGGAACAGCAACCGGGTGAGAGCAGGCTGGAGCGCGGCCGGGGATTGACTGATCGTGTCAGAAGCAAGTTGAGGGCACACAGTTAAAATAGCATTTAAAAACACTACGTTTACAAACTAGGCATTATACTTACTTACTTACTTACTTAGTAACTATCGAGGTATCTCCCTTCTAACCTCCGCTGGGAAAACCCTCGCAAGAATCCTTGCAAACCGCCTTCTGCCCCTCTCAGAAGACACCCTCCCAGAATCCCAGAATGGCTTCCGCCCCTCCAGAGGAACCGTGGACATGATCTTCACTGCACGACAGCTCCAAGAAAAATGCAGGGAACAAAACCAACCTCTGTCCGTGGCATTCATTGACCTTGCCAAGGCATTCGACACAGAGAATCTCCCTCGAGGCATTATACTAGATGTCCTTTGACCAGTCTCTGGCCCCGTGGATGCCTCTGGTGTGGCCGCAAGAAGGTCCTCCCTTGTGCATCATGTGGAAGAAGGGCTCAGGGTGCATTGCAGCAGGTGGTCAGTGGTTTGCTCTTCTCTTTACTCTTATGTCGTAGATTCCATTTTGTGGTTCTGTTCTTGAGGTTGGCTCTGCATCTCGTGGTGCCAAAGCGCAGTCTGTTCAGTGCCTTCCACGTCACCCCGTCTTCTTCCGTGTGCCCAGGGGGGAGTCTCTCATTGGGTATCACCCACGGATTGATGTGCTGGGTTTGAGCCTGCCACTTTTGGACTCTCGCTTGCTGAGGTGTTCCAGCGAGTGTCTCTGTAGATCTTAGAAAACTATTTCTAGATTTAAGTCGTTGGCGTGCTGGCTGATACCCAAACAAGGGATGAGCTGGGGATGTCTCTGCCTTGGTCCTTTCATTATTAGCTGCTACTTCCCAGCGGATATCAGTTGGTGCAATACCAGCTAAACAGTGTAATTTCTCCAGTGGTGTGAGTTGTAGACATCCTCTTCTTCAGGCTAAACATGCCCAGTTCCCTAAGCCGCTCCTCGTAGGGCTTGTTCTCCAGACCCTTGATCATTTTAGTCGCCCTCCTCTGGACACATTCCAAAGCAACTTCTACAAGCTGGAATGTGGCCAGAGGAGGGCGACTAAAATGATCAAGGGTCTGGAGAACAAGCCCTATGAGGAGCGGCTTAAGGAGCTGGGCATGTTTAGCCTGAAGAAGAGAAGGCTGAGAGGAGATATAGCCATGTATAAATATGTGAGAGGAAGCCACAGGGAGGAGGAGGGAGCAAGCTTGTTTTCTGCTTCCTGGAGACTAGGACGCAATGGAACAATGGCTTCAAACTACAAGAGAGGAGATCCATCTGAACATGGAAGAACTTCCTGACTGTGCGATCTTTCAGCAGTGGAACTCTCTGCCCCGGAGTGTGGTGGAGGCTCCTTCTTTGGAAGCTTTTAAACAGAGGCTGGATGGCCATCTGTCAGGGGTGATTTGAATGCAATATTCCTGCTTCTTGGCAGAATGGGGTTGGACTGGATGATTGCCCAGGAGGTCTCTTCCAACTCTAGGATTCTAGGATTCTATGATAATGCGGCATGTCTCATTCAGAGCCACATCCACTGTTTTAGCGTGGTGAGATGTGTTCCACACTGGGCATGCATACTCAGCAGCAGAGTAGCACAGCGCAAGGGCAGATGTCTTCACTGTGTCTGGTTGTGATCCCCAGGTTGTGCCAGTCAGCTTTCGTATGATATTGTTTCTAGCACCCACTTTTTGTTTGATGTTCAGGCAGTGCTTCTTGTAGGTCAGAGCACGGTCCAGAGTGACTCCCAGGTATTTGGGTGCGCTGCAATGCTCCAGTGGGATTCCTTCCCAGGTAATCCTCAGAGCTCGGGATGCTTGTCTGTTCTTGAGATGAAAGGCACATGTCTGTGTTTTAGATGGGTCAGAGCTCGAGATGCTTGTCTTTTTGAGATGAAAAGCACACGTCTGTGTTCTAGATGGACTAGAAATCAGCTGTTTTTCCCTGTCATAGGCAGTAAGAGCACCTAAAGCTTCGGAGAGCATCTGTTCACCCATTTCAAAGCTCCCTGCTTGAGCAGTGATGGCACAATCGTCAGCATAGATTGTTTCCTCAGAGCTCGAGATGCTTGTCTGTTCTTATGATGAAAAGCATACGTCTGTGTTTTGGGTGGGTTAGGAATCAGCAGGTTTTCCCTGTAATAGTCAGTAAGAGCACCTAGAGCTTCCCAGAGCTTCTGTTCAACCCTTTCAAAGCTCTCTGCTTGGATGGTGATGGCATGATCGTCAGCATAGATGAAACTCTCTGTCTCTTCTGGCAGTGGCTGGTAATTTGTGTCAATGTTAAACATTAGGAATCAGCAGGTTTTCCCTGTAATAGTCAGTAAGAGCACCTAGAGCTTCGGAGAGCTTCTGTTCAACCATTTTAAAGCTCTCTGATTGGGCGGTGATGGCACAATCGTCAGCATAGATTGTTTCCTCAGAGCTCGAGATGCTTATCTTTTCTTAAGGTGAAAAGCACATGCCTGCATTTTAGATGGACTAGGAATCAGCTGGTTTTCCCTGTAATAGCCAGTAAGGGCACCTAAAGCTTCGGAGAGCATCTGTTCAACCATTTCAAAGCTCCCTGTTTGAGTGGTGATGGCACAATCGTCAGCATAAATCGTTTCCTTAGAGCTTGAGATGCTTGGCCGTTCTTATGATGAAAATGGATGGGTTAGGAATCAGCTGGTTTTCGCTGTAATAGGCAGCATAGTTTCATCTATGCTGACGATCATGCCATCACCATCCAAGCAGAGAGCTTTGAAAGGGTTGAACAGAAAGAGCACCTAAAGCTTCGGGGAGCTTCTTTTCAACCATTTCAAAGCTCTCTGATTGGGCAGTGATGGCATGATCATCAGCATAGATGAAACTCTCTATTGGGGGGGATGTGGCATCATGACTTACTTCCTTTCCTAATAACCAACATAGATAAATATATGTATATATGCACCCCCCAATCTCTCCCCTGCACCCCCAAGAGACCGGAGCCGTGCAGGGAGTCTCGGTCACTTTATTGGCGTCCCAAAGGCCAGTCTGTCATGAATTAATATATTAATATGACCAATAAAATCCACCCAGTGGGTACTTCTGTCCGTGAGTCCGTCTCTCTCTCTCTCTCTCAGTGCGTTAGCCTCCGCATCCAGTGTGGAGGCTTTGTCTGTGCAGGTCACGTGTCACGTGGAAGGGAGGCCGTGGCCGTCAGAGCTTGCTGTCCTTCACCCGGATGACCCCTTCCTGGGCGCAAGTGGCCGCCAAGACCCCGTCTCTGCGCCAGAGCCGCCCCTGGACCAGGCCTCGGCATCCTCCTGGGACGGGACACAAGGGAGGGAAAGCGTTAGTCCAGGCATGGGTCAACTTTGGCCCTCCCTCCAGATGTTTTGGACTCCAACTCCCACCATTCCTAGCAGCCTCAGGCCCCTTCCTTAAGCAGTTGGAGTCCAAAACATCTGGAGGGAGGGCCAAAGTTTCATCTACGCTTAAGCGGCTGAGGGGGAAAAGGAAAGGGCCTGAGGCTGCTAGGAATGGTGGGAGTTGGAGTCCAAACTTTGGCCAGTTTCATCTACGCTTAAGCGGCTGAGGGGGAAAAGGAAAGGGCCTGAGGCTGCTAGGAATGGTGGGAGTTGGAGTCCAAACTTTGGCCACTGTGGCCACCCTTCCTCTCCCCGAATCCCTTGAACTGGACACAGCATTGTTATTCCAGGTGAGGAAGTCAGACCAAAGCAGACAAGAGGGACAGCAATACTTCATTCAATCCAGACACTACGCCTCTGTGGATGCAGACTGGGATCGCATTGGCCTTTTCTGCTGCTGCATCACACTCTTGGCTCATGTTCAGTCCGATATCTTACTATTTACAAGCCATGGTGATGTTGCTTTCCTCCATGTGGACACTATCCTGCTGTGAATGCAGACTGGAATTGCATTGGCCTTTTCTGCTGCTACTCCTGCATAATAATAATAATAATAATAATAATAATAATAATAATAATAATGCTTTATTTATACCCTGCTACCATCTCCCGAAAAGCCTAGAGAAGACAATGATGCTGGGGAAAGTGGAAGGCAAAAGGAAGAGGGGCCGACCAAGGGCAAGATGGATGGATGGCATCCTTGAAGTGACTGGACTGACCTTGAGGGAGCTGGGGGTGGGAACGGCCGACAGGGAGCTCTGGCGTGGGCTGGTCCATGAGGTCACGAAGAGTCGGAGACGACTGAACGAATGAACAACAACAACAACAACCATCTCCCGAAGGACTCGGTGCGGCTTACAAGAGGCCGAGCTCAAATACATCAGTAAAAAAGCAACAACAGCAATACAGACAATAAATAAACTCATAAACAAATAAAACTCAACAGAAAATAAGCAATAAACATTAACACAACGTTTAAAATTATCACACTCTTGGCTCATGTTCAGTCGTATACATCTTAACTATTGTCAAGCATTGTCTTTATTGCTTATATTGTTGTATATTCAAGTTTTTTGTAATTATGATGTTGTTTATTGTTTGTGTTTTCAGTTTGTGTTTGGTCGTTCTTTATTGTAATTGTTTGGGCTTGGCCCCATGTAAGCCGCTCCGAGTCCTCATAGGGGAGATGGTGGCGGGGTACAAATAAAGATCATTATTATTATTATTATTATTATTATTATTATTATTATTCTGTCTGGACACTATCCTTCTATGGATGCATGCTAGAGAATCGCATTGGTCTTTTCTGCTGCTGCATCACACTCTTGGCTCAACTGTCACTCTGGGCCAGAGTGAAAGGGGGGGGGGACAGGGGACAGTTCCACCTTGTCTCCTGTGCTATTCTAATAATATAATATGATATAAATTTTATATGTATAAGCAATATATTATATTATATAAATTTTATAAATTTTAATATGTATACGCAATATATTATATTATATTAAATATATGTATATATTTATTTATTTATTACTGTGCTTATATACCGCCGTTTCTCAGTCTAAATCGGCGACTCAACGCGGTTTACAACACAACGACAAGTAGCAATATTCCATTAAAAAGCATAAAAACACATACACAATACACAATATTATTGGGCCACCAATAACAATCCAATGCATCTCTTAATTGTAATCGCAATCCAATTTCGTCGTCTGTGATTAACCAATCCTTTGTTCATCAGTTTCGTTGCACCAGATTAATCGAATGCTTGTTTAAACATCCATGTCTTCACAACCTTTTTCGAAATACCATCAGCGAAGGGGCTGATCTCACCTCAGTGAGGGGGCTGATCTTACCTCCATAGGAAGGGCGTTCCACAGCCGAGGGGCCACCACAGAAAAGGCCCTGTCTCTCGTCCCCGCCAGCCGCACCTGTGAAGCAGGCGGGATAGAAAGCAGGGCCTCCCCAGAAGATCTTAGGGTCCTGGCGGGCTGATAGGCAGAGATACGTTCGGATAGGTAAGTTGGGCCAGAACCGTTTAGGGCTTTAAAGGCCAACGCCAGCACTTTGAATTGAGCCCGGTAGCAAATCGGCAGCCAGTGGAGCTGGTACAGCAGAGGAGTTGTATGCTCCCTGCGCCCCGCTCCTGTTAGTATCATGGCTGCCGCCCGTTGGACTAATTGGAGCTTCCGAGCCGTCTTCAAAGGCAACCCCACGTAGAGAGCGTTGCAGTAGTCAAGACGGGATGTAACCAGAGCGTGGACTACCGTGGCCAAGTCAGACTTCCCAAGGTACGGTCGCAGTTGGCGCACAAGTTTTAACTGTGCGAATGCTCCCCTGGTCACCGCCGAAACCTGGGGATCCAGGCTCAGCAATGAGTCCAGGATCACACCCAAGCTGCGAACCTGCGTCTTCAGGGGGAATGCGACCCCGTCTAACACCCCGTCCAATACATATATTTAATATAATATATTGCGTATACATATAAAATTTATAATATTATAATGAAATGCAATATTATTATAATAATATGATATTATAATTATATATTTATATTCCATGTAATATTACTAATAATATTACGATATAGTGGTATGGTGCAATATAGCAATGTTTAATGCTGATATTGTACTATGCTAATAATAATAATACACTTTATTTATAACCTGCTGTGCAATGTTCGCGATATGCACACACAATAATGCTAATAACATAATATATTGTACATAATATAAACCTTGTAAGGCACTCTGAGTCTCCTTCGGGGTGAGAAGGGTGGCATATAAATGTCGTAAATAAATAAATAATTAAAAATAAATGTTCAGTCATATTGACAAGCCATGGCGATGTTGCTTCCCTCCACCTGGACACTATCCTCCTATGGATGCAGACTGGAATCACATTGGCCTTTTCCGCTGCTGCATCACACTGGGCTTATGTTCAGTCCTATATCTTACTATTTACATGGCGATGTTGCTTCCCTCCACCTGGACACTATCCTCCTATGGATGCAGACTGGAATCACATTGGCCTTTTTGGCTGCGACATCCCACTCCTGGCTCCCGTCCACCCTCGGTCCCTTTCGCATGGACCATTTCCAGGCAGGGGCCTCCCCATCCTACACCTGTGTATTGTTTATTGCCTCAGGGTGGCCCCATACATTTCTCACCTGTGGGTCCCCAGGTGTTTTGACTACAACTCCCAGAATTCCCAGCCAGTTTACCAGCTGCTTGGATTTCTGGGAGTGGGAGGCCAAAACACATCCGGGGAGCGACCCCCCAGGTTGAGAACCCCTGCTGCAGAAGTTTGTTTTGTCAGTTGAGGTCACTGGGCCGTCACTCACCGGCCCAGGGGCTCTCGCACTCGTAGAGCATCCAGTGGTCGGCCCGGAAGGGAGCGTGGAACCAGAGGGAGTGGTCCAGGGAGGCCATGAAGCCCACCTGGTGGTGCCGGTGGGGCAGGAGGGCCGTGGCCAGGAGCGCGTAGTCCGAGATGTAGGCGGCCACGCAGCAGTGCAGCTTCATGTCACACTCGCCTGGAAGGGAAACGCAGGCTGATGAGGGCTCTGCTCAAAGGAAGGAAGGAGGAGGAAGGAAGGAAGGAAGGAAGGAAGGAAGGAAGGAAGGAAGGGGGGGACACAAGCAAAGACGGGCAGCCTCTCCCAGGATGTGCCCCAGGGAGGCATTCTCATTGATTTATGTCTTGGCTTCCTTTACTCCTCGGGGGTCTCAAGGTGGCTTACAGCTTCGGCAAAAATTCAATGCTGGCAAAACCAACAGTAACAATAAACATATCCCCACAATGAAAACGATTCACAATTAATCAATAAAACACCTAAAGGCATATGCAAATTTGTCAGAGCTATGTGTGATTAATGGGAAATGTGCATACATACACATTGTTTAAAGTTGGCAGTGTGTATGTATGCAAAGCCATCCAGCGAGTTAAAGGCTACGGAGGGAGTGGTCAGCTTCCTAGAAAGGACAGTACAAATATTTCCTGCTTCCTCTGATGCAGATGGACATTAGGTCATAATTCCTAACAAAATGAAAACATATCATGTGCATAATGCAATTCATCCCATTGTTTATTTATTTATTTATTTATTTATTATTTATTTATTTATTTATTTACTATTCTTGTATACCGCTGTATCTCAAGCCCGAGGGCGACTCACAGCGGTTTCCAAACAGCAAAGACAATAAAAACAACAGTAATTAATATACAGTAACAGTTAAATTACACATTTCCCTTAATCACTAATAAGCAATCATCAATACACAGGTATCACAATCCCATCCCCAATTGCCTCATCATCCAAGCGTAATCCAAATTCGTCGTCCATTGTTCCGTTCCTATGTTCAAATTACCAAAATTGCTTGTAATCCTTATTCAGACCATGTCGAAACCCAGAGTGACTTATTCTTCCAACGTTTGGGTGCAGAGCTAACAAGCAATTTTGTAATTGTGTATTGATGATTGCTTATTAGTGATTAAGGGAAATGCGTAATCAATACCGATGACAAGCTAGCTCCTGAGTTGTTTTCTAAAGACCAGAAAAAAAAAAAGGGGGGGGGGTGCTTGGTGTCGCTGTGGAGGGAGTCCCACAACCAGGAAGCCACCACTGAGAAGGAAGTAAAGAACGAAGGAAGGAAGGAAGGCCGGCCCTGTCTCTTGTAACCACTAGTCGCGCTTGTAAAGTAAATAAATAAGAGTAGGGCCTCCCCAGGCGATCTTAACATTCTAGAAGGCTCATAGGAGGAGGAGGAGGAGGACAGATAAGTTGGACCTGAACCGTTGAGGGCTTTATAGGGCAAGACCAGCACTTTAAATTGGGCTCGGTAGCAAATTGGCAGCCAGTGGAGCTCACGCACAGAGGAGTTCTGTCCTCTGGTCAGAAGCCTGCCTGCCTGCCGCCCGCTGGACGAACTGAAGCTTCCGGACTGTCTTCAAAGGCAACGCCACATAGAGTGTGTTTTATTTATTTATTTACTGCACTTGTATACTGCCTTTCTCAGCCTGCTGGCAACTCAAAGCGTGGCAGGAGTCTATGCAAGATGTAACAAGAGCATGGACCATTGTGGCAAAGCCTGACCTAACAAGGTAGCAATCCCTTTGGCCCTAACATTCAATACGGCTCTGGTCCAGCGTACCTGTCCGAATGTATCCCCTTCTACGTCCCACCTCGGAGTTTAAGATCTTCTGCAGAGGCCCTGCTCTCGGCCCCACCTCTGTCTCAAATATGCTTGGTGGGGACGAGGGACAGGGCCTTCTTGGTGGTAGCTCCCCTCCTGTGGAATTCACTTCCCGAGGAAATTAGGTCATCATCATCCCCCCTCACCTTTAGAAAGAAGGTTAAAATGTGGATGTGGGACCAGGCCTTTGGGCAATCAAAGGACAATTGATAATGTTTGACTATGGCTTGGAAATGGATTATGGATAAGTTTAATGGAGTACTCAATCATAACATATGGCTAAATAATGACCACCAGACTGGTAATAGTTCGGTAGACTGCAAGTATATTGTTTTCATGTTTTTATGCTTTTAAATATTGTAATTATTGGTGTTTTGTATTTTATTATGCGGCATTGAATTGTTGCCAATTGGAAGCCACTTCTTGGAAGACACTGTTATGGTTCTTAATGTTGGCTGCTTTGTGTCTCCTTTGGTAGAGAAAAATGGGTTTATATCAAGCATGGGCAAACTTGGGCCCTCGCTCCAGGTGTTTTGGACTGCAACTCCCACCATTCCTGTCCTCAGGCCCTTTCTGCTTAAGCGGCTGAGGAGGGAAAAGAAGGGGCCTGAGGCCAGGAATGGTGGGAGTTGCAGTCCAAAACACCCGGAGCGAGGGCCCAAGTTTGCCCATGCCTGGTTTATATACTAGTACTGTTACTACTACACTACTACTACTATCAACAACAACACTATGTAACACGATTTTTGTTCCTGGGTAATAAATATCATTTCCTAATTGGTTCTATCATGAAAACATGGGAAAGGTTTATTACACTGCAGAAACTGTCTTTGCGGGAAGGACATCGTCCAGCTAGAGCACATTTTGCAATCGTTTTTCAATGACTATCCCATCATCCATTCTCAGCCCATTCTACCTAGTTTGTGGTTCTGGAGGAGAATAACTCCTTTCAAAGTAACTGCCGCGTAATGAAAAAGGCAACAACACTCTGAGAGCAGGAACAGAAGGTCTTTCCAATGTTGTTAGGTAACAAAGTGCCACAGGCTGTGCAAAGGGAAGAGCGGCCCTGGCACTTACCGATGTGTCCCCGGGCGCGCACCCAGACGAGCTGCTTGGGCTCCTGCTGGCTCCGGCGGAAGACGTCGGGCGGGTTCACGGGCTTCATCTCAATGGGAATCTCCTGGGCCAGCATCTTGGTGAGGCCCTGCCGGTAGCGCTCCAGGAGGTTGGGGTCCCTTTGGAGAGGCAGAGAGAGGAACGAGGGCGCTGGGGAGGGAAACGGGGGAGCTACGCCCACACTATAGTGGGTACAGAGATCGGGGGGGGGGGGCATGTCTGGTTCTCCAGGCCGTGTTGGACGCCAATTCCCATCATCCCCCACTGCTGCCTTGGAGGTCATAGAACCATAGAAGAGGCACACCCCCCCCTCCCGGCAGAACAATCCCAGTTCATCCGGCAGGAATACCCAATCCAAGCCCTCATAGAGTTGGAAGAAGCCACAAGGGCCATGTAGTCCAACCCTCTGCCATGCAGGAAAAGCACAATCAAAGCACCCCCGAACAGATGGCCATCCAGCATCTGCTGAAAAGCCTCCAGAGGGAGGCTCCACCAGACTCAAAGGCAGAGAACTCCCCTGCTGCACAGCTCTTCTTACGGGCAGGAAATCTTTCCTAATGTTTAAGTGGAATCCCTTTCCCTGTCATTTGAACCCATGGCGCCACTGAGTCCTACTTCCAGGGCAGAAGAAGCACCCTTTCACATCTTGATCCCTGGCCCCCTCACGCCTCTCTTCTGCAGTCTTCTCTTCTGCAGTCTAAACATGCCCGGATCTTTAAGCCGCTCCTCCTCAGAGGGATTATTCATCGACTTGTGATCCTTTGAGTTGCCCTCTTCCAGCTTGTCAATACCACTTAAATGGTGGTGCCCAGAGCTGGACACTGTGTTCTAGGTGAAGAGGTCTGACCAAAGCAGAAGGGAGAGGCACCAGGACTCCCCTTGATCGAGGCACTAGACCAGTGGTTCTCATCCTTCCTAATGCCGCGACCCCTTAACACAGTTCCTCATGTTGTGGTGACCCCCAACCAGCAAATTATTTTCATGACAATTTCACAACTGTAATTTTGCTCCCATTATGAAGCATAATGTAAATATCTGATATGCAGGGTGTATTTTCATTCACTGGACCAAATTTGGCACAAATACCCAATACACCCAAATTTGAGCACTGGTGGGGTTGGGTGGGGGATTTGCTGTTGTAGTTGCTGAGATTTATAGTTCACCTACAATCAAAGAGCGTTCCGAACTCCACCAACAATGGAATTGAACCAAACTTGGCACACAGAACTCCCACAACCAACAGACAACACTAGAAGAGTTTGGTGGGCCTTGACCTTGAGTTTTGGAGTTGTAGTTCACCTACATCCCGAGAACACTGTGGACTCAAACAATAATAGATCTGGACCAAATTTGGCATGATAATCAATATGCCCAAATGTGAACTCTGCTGGAGTTTGGGGAAAATAGACCTTGACATTGGGAGTTGTAGTTGCTGGGATTTATACTTCACCTACAATCAAATAGCATTCTGAACCCCAGCAAGATTAGAATTGAGCCAAACTTCCCACACAGAATCCCCATGACTAACAGAAAATACTGTGTCCTTGGTGACCCCTCTGACACCCCTTTGTGACCTCTCCAGGGGCCCTGACCCCCAGGTTGAGAAAACACTGCACTAGTCTCCTCTGGATGCTGCAGTCCAAATCCCCTTGCCTCACATGCTGCTTGACTCCAAAGTGTTTTCACAGGTAACTCTGTGGTGGAGCCAGCCCTCCCACAACCTGTATCTGTGCATTTCATTTTTTTTCTGTCAAAGTGAAGTATCCTCCCAAGTGACAGCCTTCCAACCTCTGCTTAAAACCTCCAGAGAAGCACCCCCCCTCCACGGCAGCAGCCTATTCTAGCTCTGACCCCCAGGAAGTTCTTCCCAAGGCTTAGGTGGAATCCCTTTCCCTGCAATTTGAATGCGTCGCTCTGTTGTGTCCCAGTCTCCACAGCCGCAGACACCAGGCCTTCCTGCTCCTCAACGGAACCCCTCTTCATATATTTATCAATACAGTCCCATGTCCTCTCTGGAGGGAGATGGCTCCCTATTGCTACACAGCCAAGGCCAAGGGGGAGAGGCGGTGACTGTGGAAACCCACGGAAGCCAGCAGAGGTCTACATGGAACACTTTGAAGAACAAGTTCTAGAAACAGCAACAAAAAAGCCCACCACATGGTTCAGATACGTAGATGACGACTTCACCATTTGGAGCCATGGAGGAGGAGAACTTGTCTCCTGCACTGTGCTTATAATCTAATCTAATCTAATGTGTGTGTGTGTGTGTGTGTGTGTGTGTGTGTGTGTGTATATATATATATATATATATATATATAATATGGATCTAAATAAATAAAAATGGCCCAGAAGGGGAGCTGGGAACAGGCCTTGCTTACTGCTGGAAATACAGCGGAGCCCCAGCACAATTCAGAATGGGACGTTCACTTAGCCTAGGTGAGATTTCTGCTGCCTTGAAGCAGAAATAGATGCATTTTTAATAATAATAATTATTATTATTATTATTATTATAGCAATTTAAATAATAATAATTATTATTTGTACCCTGCACCATGTCCCAAAGGGACTTGGGATGGCTCAGAAAGCACTCAAAGGTGCCAACGCACAAAATACAAAAAGTGTAACATAAAACAATAAACAACCCACATAAATCATCACAACTTCAGAATGCCCCCTGCTTAAAAGTGCAGCGCTAGCTGCTAGTAAAAACAACAGTAATTTTCAGTAAAAAAAACAACCTCTCAACCTCTGAGGATGCTTGCCATAGATGGAGGCGAAACGTCAGGAGGGAATGCCTCCAGAACATGGTCATATAGCCCGAGAAAACCTACAACAACCCAACAGGAATCTATCTAGTCTTGTAAAGTGCTTGATAGAAAATCTATAGGACCTCACGTATATTCATTAAAGGCATCTAAATATGGCCAAAGGCTTGATGAAAAAAAACATGTCTTCAATTGTGTATAGAAGCTTGGAGGGTGGGGGCTGGCCTGATCTCCCTGGGGTGGGCATTCCAAAGTTGGGGGGCCACCAACAAGAAGGAAGGCCCCCCCTCTCCCTCGTTGCCATCAACCGCACTTGAGACAGAGGTGGGTCCCAGAAAAGGGCCTCCCCAGTAGATCTGGTTCATAGAAAGAGAGGTTGGACACGAAGCGTGTATATAGCGTATATCTAAGAAGCAGCTCTGCAGGCTCAAGCAACGGAGGGTCAGTGAGCCAGGCAGAAGTGCGGACAAAGAAAGGGACAGGGCAAGCAGCTCTCTCTCTCTCTCTCTCTTTGCCCCTCTTCCCCATGGGTTGTCGCTCTGCCCGTGGCCAAGCAGAGGGAGAGGGAAGGCACTCACTGGAGGTACTTGTGGATGAGCTCCTCCTGGGTCAGGAGTTCCTCCGGGAATGGCACATCCGGCATGTGGAACTGGTGCTGGATGGGGCTGGGCTGCGCCGCCTGGAAGGAGGCCTGGCAGGTGAGGATGGGCATCCCGTGCTGGATGGCCTTGACCGACCGGACCGAGAAGCTCCTCCCCGTCCGAGTACGCTCCACCTGGTAGAGGACGGGCACCGTGGGGTCCCCTGCGGGGGGCGGGGGGGGGGCACAGCAGGCTCAGCCGCTTGCCGCCCACTTCCCAACATCCGGCCTTGGCAGGCTGCGTGCCCCCCTGCCCACCCCTCAAAGGGCTCCATACTGACCTGCTCTGACGAAGTAGCAGTGCAAGGAATGGACGTGGACGTCATCGCTCACGGCCTTTGCGGCGGCCACCAGAGCCTGGCCCACGATCTGGCCACCAAAGAGACGCTTGGTGACCGGCACCCAGTAGTGCCTCCCGCTGGGAGAAGACAACGGAAGAGAATAACGTTATTGTCCGTGTACCTCGTACGAGAAAATTACACCCAGTCCCCAATACACATTAGATACGTACAATTACAAAACAAGGCACCCATCCGTCCATATTCTAGTCACTATTGCACAACCCCTCATGCCACATCAGTGTGAAACCACAGAGTTCAATATAGTCACAGCTCTAGGATAGAAGCTATCTCTCAGCTTCTGTCCTTGTTTTTAGAGGAAGGAAAATGGAGAGAGAGGCAAGGCCGGCTGCCAGAAAGGTGCAAACGGTTCAGGACCTGCCGGTCTGTGTGACCGCCTCCTCCCTTACGAGCCCATGCAGTCCTTAAGATCTTCCAGGGATGCGGGGAATGCGGAAGTGCTTCATCAGCGTCGCAGATGGACGATGAAAGTGACAGCTCCCCTGGCGGCCAGAAAAAAGTTAAAAGAGCCTCTGTGTATGTCTGTATATGTTTGTATGTCAAAATTTGGCATTGAATGTTTTCCATATATGTGTACACTGTAATCCGCCCTGAGTCCCCTGCGGGGTGAGGAGAAGGGCGGAATAGAAAAGCTGTCAATAAATAAATAAATAAATAAATAAATAAATTGTGCTTTTGACTGACAGCTGCTATGACATACGACCTGTATTGTGATCTGAATTATTATTCAATCCAAATTCCTATATTACATTACTAGACATATCCTTAAGTTAAGTCGAATCAGTCCTGTTAAATTGTTCAGTTTCCATGTTATTTCCAATCTGGGATCATAGAATAATTGAGTTTGACTCCAAGTCCAACTCCTTGCCATGCAGGAAAGCACAATCCAAGCTCCCCTGAGAGATGGCCATCCAGCCTCTGTTTAAAACCTTCCAAGGAAGGAGTTTCCACCACACTCTGAGGCAGAGAGTTCCACTGCTTTCCTGAGGATGCTTGCCATAGATGCAGGCGAATCGTCAGGAGAGAATGCCTCTAGAACATGGCCATATAGCCCGAAAAAACCAACAACATCCCAGTGATTCCAGCCATGAAAGCCTTCGACAATTATGCTTTTAAATCAGACAAGGTAACAATAAATCATTCCATCTGAACATGAGGAAGAACTTCCTGACTGTGAGAGCCGTTCAGCAGTGGAACTCTCTGCCCCGGAGTGTGGTGGAGGCTCCTTCTTTGGAAGCTTTTAAACGGGCTGGATGGCCATCTGTCAGGGGTGATTTGAATGCAATATTCCTGCTTCTTGGCAGAATGGGGTTGGACTGGATGGCCCATGAGGTCTCTTCCAACTCTTTGATTCTATGATTCTATTGATTCTATGGAGCTGCCGCTGTCAGCCCTAGCTTCTGCCAACCTAGCAGTTCGAAAACATGCAAATGTGAGTAGATCAATAGGTACCGCTCCGGCGGGAAGGTAACGGCGCGCCATGCGGCCATGCTGGCTACATGACCTTGGAGGTGTCTATGGACAACGCTGGCTCTTCGGCTTAGAAATGGAGATGAGCACCAGAGTCCCAGAGTCAGACATGACTGGACTTAATGTCAGGGGAAAACCTTTACCTTTACCTATTATTATTATTATTATTATTATTATTAAGGGTGTGGAGAACAAGCCCCATGAGGAGCGGCTGAAAGAGCCGGGCCTGTTGCAGTGCAGGTCCTTCTCCTCCTCCGCGGCGGCAGGGGGCGCTAGGGCGTCTCCCTGGCTCCTCCTCCTCCTCCTTCCGGGCCGCAGCCCACCAGCCCGCCCGCCCGCCTGACTGACTGACCGGAAGAGGTCGAGGTCCAGCTGCTCCAGGTTGAGGACGCTGGTGACCAGCACGCTGCGGAGGTCCTTCCCGGCGGCCGCCATCTTGGACGGAAACGGGTCCCGCTGGGGACACTCACTTCCGGTCGGGCTTCCGCGTTTCCTTAAGGTTGGCCTGCGCGCGGAGCAGAAGAGTTCCCGCCTCGCCATTGGCGGAGCCACCCGCCCGCTTGCCGCCGGAGCTCCCGATTGGTGGGCTCTCCTTCGGAGGGCGGGGCTTATAAAGAGAGAGAGAGAGAGAGACGGCTTGTGCCTGCCACGCGCATGCGCAGGAAGAGAATCCGCAAGGGCAGCCTGAGGGGCGGCGGTGCTTCTCATTCCCTCCTCGGAGGGGCCTCTGGGGTAATTAGTGAGCGTGCTAATTGGCCTCCCAAGGGGTCTCCGGTGGGGAGGGGGCAGGAGAGCGTAGAGGGCCCCCTTTCCCCCCCAGGAGGAGGAGGGGCTTCCTTCATGGCAGACCAGGCCAGCAGGCCACACTCCCCACATAATATTGTGTCCAGTTCTGGGCACCACAATTCAAGAGAGATATTGACTCTAAGCTGGAATGTGTCCAGAGGAGGGCGACTAAAATGATCAAGGGTCTGGAGAACAAGCCCTATGAGGAGCGGCTTAAGGAGCTGGGCATGTTTAGCCTGAAGAAGAGAAGGCTGAGAGGAGATATGATAGCCATGTAAATATGTGAGAGGAAGCCACAGGGAGGAGGGAAGATCAAGGGTCTGGAGAACAAGCCCTATGAGGAGCGGCTTAAGGAGCTGGGCATGTTTAGCCTGAAGAAGAGAAGGCTGAGAGGAGATATGATAGCCATGTATAAATATGTGAGATGAAGCCACAGGGAGGAGGAGCAGATCAAGGGTCTGGAGAACAAGCCCTATGAGGAGCGGCTTAAGGAGCTGGGCATGTTTGGCCTGAAGAAGAGAAGGCTGAGAGGAGATATGATGAGGGCCATGTATAAATATGTGAGAGGAAGCCACAGGGGAGGAGGGAACAGATCAAGGGTCTGGAGAACAAGCCCTATGAGGAGCGGCTTAAGGAGCTGGGCATGTTTAGCCTGAAGAAGAAAAGGCTGAGAGGAGATATGATGAGCCATGTATAAATATGTGAGAGGAAGCCACAGGGAGGAGGAGGGAACAGATCAAGGGTCAGGAGAACAAGCCCCATGAGGAGCGGCTTAAGGAGCTGGGCATGTTTAGCCTGAAGAAGAGAAGGCTGAGAGGAGATATGATGAGGGCCATGTATAAATATGTGAGAGGAAGCCACAGGGAGGAGGAGGGAGCAAGCTTGTTTTCTGCTTCCCTGGAGACTAGGACGCAATGGAACAATGGCTTCAAACTACAAGAGAGGAGATTCCATCTGAACATGACGAAGAACTTCCTGACTGTGAGAGCCGTTCAGCAGTGGAACTCTCTGCCCCAGGAGTGTGGTGGAGGCTCCTTCTTTGGAAGCTTTTAAACAGAGGCTGGATGGCCATCTGTCAGGGGTGCTTTGAATGCATATTCCTGCTTCTTGTCAGAATGGGGTTGGACTGGATGATGGCCCATGAGGTCTCTTCCAACTCTGTGATTCTATGATTCTATGAAGGAAGGAAGGCGCTTTGAGCCTCCTCTGAAGAGAAGAAAGGGGGGGGGGTGTATAATAATAATAATAATAATAATAATAATAATAATACACATGTGGCTGTGAGTGCTCAGAGATTGTGAGGTCTGTTGGAAATGTGGGAAATGAGGTTATCTATCTGTAGAATAATGTCCCGGGTGGGTGGGAGGGAGAAAGAAAGAACTAGGTTCTTGTGGGTTTTTTTGGGCTATAGGGCCATGGTCTAGAGGCATTCTCTCCTGACGTTTCTCCTGCATCTATGGCAAGCATCCTCAGAGGTAGTGAGGTCTGTTGGAACTAGGAAAATGGGTTTATATATCTGTGGAATAATGTCCAGGGTGGGACAAAGGACTCTTGTCTGCTGGAGCTAGGTGTGAATGTTTCAACTGACCACCTTGATTAGCATTTGATTGCCTGGCAGTGCCTGGAGCAATCTTTTGTTGAGAGGTGATTCGATGTCCTTGTTTGTTTCCTCTCTGTTGTTGTGCTGTTGTAATTTTAGAGTTTTTTTTAATACTGGTAGCCAGATTTTGTTCATTTTCATGGTTTCCTCCTTTCTGTTGAAATTGTCCACATGCTTCTTGTGGATTTCAATGGCTTCTCTGTGTATCCTGACATGGTGGTTGTGAGAGTGGTCCAGCATTTCTGTGTTCTCAAATAATATGCTGTGTCCAGGCTGGTTCATCAGGTGCTCTGCTATGGCTGACTTCTCTGGTTGAAGTAGTCTGCAGTGCCTTCCATGTTCCTTGATGCGTGTCCAGGCAATTCTGCTGCTGCGTGTGGTGGTCCCTCTGGAGACTTCTTGTCCACAGCTGCATGGTACACAATGGTAGACTCCTGCAGAAGTGAGAGGATCCCTCTTGTCCTTTGCTGAACGGAGCATTGGTTGGATTTCTTGGTGGGTCTGTAGATAGTTTGTATGTTGTGTTTCCTCCTCAGCTTCCCTCTGCGGTCAGTGGTTCCCTTGATGTCTGGCAAGAACACTTTCCCTCTGGGTGGATCTTGGTCTTGACTCTCGTGGCTTCTTCTCGGTTGTCTTGCAGCTCTTCTGATGTCTGAGGTGGAGTCTCCATTGGCCTGGAGAGCCCAGTTGAGGTGGTCCAGTTCCCCTTGGAGGAGGTGGGCTTCGCGGATTCCTTTTGCACGGTCTGCCAGGGCTGTCATGGTGCTTCTTTGTTGACCTGGGGAATGGTTGGAGTTTTGATGTCGGTATCTATCCGTATGTGTAGGTTTTCTGTAAACTGGGTGACCCAATTTTGGCCGGGACATCTAGAAATGGCAGTTTTCTTTTTCCATGGTGAATGGGATGTTTGGGTGAATGCTGTTGAGGTGCTCCAGGAACTTGTTCTGTTCTTATTTCTTTATTTAAGGCATTTCTGTGCCACCCTTCTTACCCCGAAGGGGACTCAGAGTGGCTTACAAGTAAAAAGTAAATACAATACTATTATTATAGCACAATATTAATATTCTATATTAAATTGTACTATAACATTGTGCTGTAATATTTTAGTAATATTACATTTAATATAAAATATGTAATTATAATATCATGTTGTTATTATTACTAATATATTGTATTACATTATAATATTACTAGCCATCCCCTGCCACACGTTGCTGTGGCCCAGTCTGTGTATATGTGTTTTATGTGTGTGTATATGTGGTTTTGCACATGGTTTTAAGTCCCTTCCACTGTGTTTTTCAGTGTTTTCATCAGTGATGGTCACTTATTGGCCTGATAAGTGTCTTGTGTCCAAACTTGGTGTCAATTCAGTGGTTTTTGAGTTAATTTTAATCCCACAAACATTACATTTTTATTTATTTAGATCCATATTATATCTATATACATTAGATTAGATTAGATTATAAGCACAGTGCAGGAGACAAGTTCTCTTCCTCCATGGCTCCAAATGGTGAAGGCGTCATCTACGTATGTGAACCATGTGGTGGGCTTTTTTGTTGCTGCTTCTAGAACTGGTTTTTCAAAGTGTTCCATGTAGAAATGTGCTTTGACCGGGCTGAGAGGGCTCCCCATGGCTAATCTTTCTGTTCATAGAATTCATGGTCCCATTGAAAGGAGCTAGTGGTGAGTCAATGATGAAACAAGGCTGTGATGTCTTCTGTGAAATTCTGTTGGGTGACTGCGATGTGTCCTCGTTCCCCAGGGCCGGGATCCGCCATGGAGCTGGGCTCCTGCTTCAAGAACTACACGGACTTCTCTGAGCACTTTGCCGCCTACAAGAAGGAGAGCCGGCTCCAGTTTGGCCTCAAGAGCTGCGTCTCCGTCCGCTTCCACAACCGACAGAACGGGACCCACATTCGGGAGGACATCACGTAAGAAGGGGGCGAGTGGGTAAGGGGCGCACGGGAGACAGTCACGCTCATGCCCTCCAAGCACAGCCTCTGGCTGCATCTACAGCAGGCAGGGACCAACTTCGGCCCTCCCTCCAGGTGTTTTGGACTTCAACTCCCACAATTCCTAACAGCCTACCGGCTGTTAGGAATTGTGGGAGTTGAAGTCCAAAACACCTGGAGGAGGACCGAAGTTGGCCCATGCCTGCTGTAGGTGTAGCCAAATTAAATGCAATTTGGCACCCTTTTAACTGCCACGACTCAATGCTGTTATTATTATGTTTGTTTATATCCTGTTTTTTCTCTTCATCTGGGGACTTAAAGCAGTGTACACTGAAAGCATTTCAATGCAACATAAAATATACAAAGATTAAAACAGAATTAAATATCATTAGTATTAAATATTAGGGATAATGGATACTGACCTGTTAGGATCACAACCTAATCGGTGTAGGAAAGGTTATTTAGTAATGAAGGATCACTGGGTGTGTAGATATTTTGTATCCGTGTGATGCTTTGCGCCAACAGTGATGCAAGTAGACTTCTTTTAAAGATCGCAGGTTTTGTTTACTGATAACTTCAGGTACTTCAAGATACAGGCACATTTCTCGTGAAGGGTTAGAAACGTACATAATGTTTCAGAGAGTTTGTATCTTGACCTTATTTATTTATTTATTTACTTTGCTTCTATACCGCTGTATCTCAAGCCCGAAGGCGACTCACAGCGGTTCACAAACAGTAAAAACAGTAGAAACAGCAGTGGTTCCATACAACATATAACAATTGACTTAACACATTATCCATAAATTACCAATAAGCAATTACAATGCACAATTATTACAAAAAACAACCGTACCCAATCTTCTCATCATCCAAGCGTAGTCCAGGTTCGTCGTCCATTGTTCCATTCCTATGTTCCATTACCAAATTGCACTAAATTACTCAAACGCCTGCACAAACATCCAGGTCTTCACCTTTTTTGCGGAATACCATTAGAGATGGTGCTAGTCTAATGTCCGTAGGAAGGGCGTTCCACAGCCGAGGAGCCACCACCGAGAAGGCCCTATCTCTCGTCCCCGCCAGCCGAGCTTGAGAAGCAGGCGGGATCGAGAGCAGGGTCTCCCCGGAAGACCTTATCATCTTGAACAGTTTCTTCATCAACTGTGTTGCTGTATACAGCTCCCTTTAGTAAGAGTTTACGTTCAAATAAAACACAAGCCTCAATAGTGTCTCAAGCTCATTCCAGCCTCAAAAACACTGACTTCTCTGACAGTCATTCCTCGGCAGACCTTCCCTAACTGAAACTGAACATTCTAAGCCAGGCATGGGCAAACTTTGGCCCAAGCCGGTAGGAATTGCTTGTCCTAAACTGTCTCCGAGTCAGTTGTGAGCCCTGCAGCCCCTCCCACTGCTTTAGGTATAAAAAGATGAGGAAACTGCAAGTAAAATAAGACATAGACTTCAGGTTATAAAACAGGAGGCTTGAGAAGGTTGCTTCCTGCAACATTAAAAGGAACAATTGTGTTAAAATCCATAAAAACATATTCAGAACTAAAAACCACAGCAACCCTTGACTTGAGTTGTCATTTGTTGAGGCACCAAAACCCCTTGGCAGGGAATCCCCAAACTTTACAAACTTTGGTCTGTCAGACGTTTTGGATTTCAACTCCCACAATTCCTTACAGCCAGTAGATCAATGAACTTGGGCCCCTCCCTTACAGCTCCTCCTCTTCTCTGATCCCCAGGTTCATGCGGGTGAAGTTTGGCTGCATTCAGTCGCGAGAGCAGGCCAAGAAGAAGAGGAAGAAGAAACAACAACAGCAAGAGGAGGAGGAGCCCCAGTTGTGCCCAGCCTACTTAGTCCTACAATACAGTGAGGAGCTGGACCGGCTAGTGGTCACGGAGCTGAACTCCAACCACATCCATGCGGAGCCCAAGGCCCCTTTGTTCAGCTCTGACCGTTCCCCTTTGGCCAGGCTGGCCGCCAGAATGGCCGCCTCCAGAGCCTACGGCGCCCCTCCGGCCAAACTGCGCAAAGAGGAGCCTGCAGAAGTGAAGGTGAAGGTCGAGGCCGACAGCGATGTGAGCGAGAACACGGGAACCGATGCCGAGAAGTGCCCGCCTGCTTCCCTTTCTCCTTCCGAGGAGCCAGGGGCCCCTCAGGCGGGCGAAGTCGGTGGCAGCAGCGCCAGCAGCTCCCCACTGGTGCACATCGATGAGGTGATGCGGGTCTTCCAGCGCGCGGACGTGGGCTCCTTGGCCTCGTTCCGCCTGGGCGGTGGCAGCAGCAAGGAGCTGGAGCGTCTGAGCTTCCAGACGGGCAAGATGAAGGGCCTGTTCCTCCGTTTCCCTGAGAGCCTGCTGCTGCACCGGGTGGTGGGCTGCGGGGGCCACACGCTGTACGCCTTCCTGGTGGAGAGCAAGGACCGGGTGGGGAAGCTGGTGCACTTGGCCATCCTGAGGGACGACACGCCCGAGAACGTGCGTGAGATGCTCTCCGTCTTCAAGAAGTTCAATGAGGAGGGGGCAGAGGGGGGCCGGAGGGTCAAGGCGGTGCTGGTGGACGTGGCCTTCCTCCACCGGGAGGCCCTGCGGGAGCTCTTCCCCTCGGCGCAGGTGCTGCTCTCTGTCTACCACGCGGTGCGGCTCCTGGAGCGCAAGCTGAAGAAGTCCCGCGCCTCGCTGACCTTCAAGAGCGCTCTGCGGGTGGCCCTGCGCGAGGCCGTCTTCTCCCCGTCCGAGGCCAGCCTGGCGGCCCTCTCGCGCGTGGTGAAGGGCCTGGTGGACCCCGGCCTCTTTGAGCACCTCCAGGCCCACTGGTTCTCCTGCGAGATGCTGTGGTACTTCCACGCCAAGAAGGGCCTGCACGCCTGCAGCACCTACATCGACAGCCTGGAGCTGACCACCCAGAAGCTGGCCAGCCTCTTCGGCCCCCAGCTCTCCCTGCAGGCCGGCCTCCTCCGCCTCGTGGAGTCCGCCAACGACTTCAACACCAAGGGCCTGGAGAACCACCTCAACCAGGCCTTCTCCAACGGGGAGAAGACGGGCGCTGGGCGGCGCAGCATCCTCATGGAGGAGCTCAAGAGCCAGTCCCGGCCCCCCCTGCCACGCAGGCCTCGCCCGCCAAAGCACCCCCCGCCCGCGGCCGGCCAGGAGCTGCCCAAGCAGAGCGCCCGGCACAGCCCGGCCAAGCCGGTGGCCACCATGCTGGCCGCCCTGAAGGAGACCTGCACGGAGCTGGCCTACCAGCTGTGCCTGAACGAGTGGGATGTGGTGCAGAAGTCCACCCAGCTGGTGATGGCTTCCTCCAGGAGGAAGGCCGCGGTCCAGCTGCTGGAGGACACCCACCAGGTCAGCGGGGGCGGACGGAACTGCAGCTGCTACTTCTACTGCCGCTACCAGCTGCCCTGCCGGCACGTCTTGGCGGTGCTGCTGGCGAACCAGCAGGTGGTGGACGAGGGCATGGTGGCCAAGCGCTGGCAGAGGAAGTACCAGCACCTGCCCGCCCTGCGCCAGAACCACCTGGAGTGGCCCCAAGGCGGCCCGCCCGCGGCACTGGCAGCGGTGCCCAAGGAGCGTCAGGACATGATCCAGTCCCTCAGCACGGAGCTGGGCAACCTGCTCCTGCAGAGCGAGGAGGGCCAGGAGCTGGAGGAGCGCAGCGCCACCCTGCGCATGATCGTCAGCATCTGGACTAAGCGCTCCGAGCTGCGGGAAGAGGAGGCCGCGGCCCTGAAGCCCCTCCACATCCGCAATGTGGGGGACCTACCCTTCCTCTGGGTCAAGAAGGAAGAGGTGGAGGGAGCCCAAATCTCCTCGGTCACTCACGGGGCCGCTCTGGACACCAGCCAGACTCTGGTGGCTTGAAACACGGCCCTTTGGCCAGTCGGTCAGTCCCGCGTCTGGTCGGAGGGGCTGGTCCTGGCTTGGGCCATTCTCCAAGCCCGTTGCATCCCTTCCCGGTCCAGGGAGCTCAGGGTTGCTCTTCCGCACCTCAGCCATGAAAGGGCCTCCTCTCCCCCCTTGGCGCTGACCCCCAAACTCTAGTCCCCCAGGTGTTCAGACTTCAACTCCCAGAAGTCTTGGCTGCTTTGACCACTGATCAGGGATTCTGGGAGCTGTAGTTCAAAACATTGGGAGGAAACCGCTCTAGGGAGATGTGCAGGGGGACGAAGGGTGCGGGGTTCCTCTCTGCTCAGGCCAGCCTTGCTTGAGTGCCGTTGAGAGACCCCCTCCTGTATCCTGAAGGCAGGCCAGAGTGGCGCGAGGGCCTTGAGGGGGGCCAGCGTCCGGCTGCAGGCTTGACAATCAGGGAAGCCGCTTCATACCAAGGGGTGTCGTATCCTCTGTGTTTTTTGTTCTGGGCACAACCTGCTTTGTTGGTTTTTTGTTACCAGATGTTCTTGATTCAGGTGTATTATTCTGCATTCTCCACAACATTGTTATTTTAGCTTAGGTCAGGTTAAGGAAACCCACCGGGATTGTTGATATTCTCTTGCGTTGTGTGGGAACGTCCGCCGCACCCGGTGCCTGTGTTTCAGCCCCGAAGCCCCTGAGGTGGAGGCCAGGTGTTCGTGCAGGTGTCTTGAGGGGAGGCGGCGCCCCCTTGGTGCTCTCTCTCCCCGCTCTCCAAATCCTCTGCCAGAGGGGCAGGTTTTGCTGCTATGTTCTCAAGACCAAATTAGTTGTTGAAAATGCAGATCTCACTCTCGAGTTAAAAACTTTTGTATTGTTATTGGTATTGTTATTATTAACTCTGCGGCTTTGCTGCTGAAGTCATTGTTTAGTTCTGTTCATTTCCCGCGCCATCTTGGCAAAGGAACAGTTGTGGATTCGTGATGAATAAATTATACCGTGTTAATTTAAAAGGGCGCTCCCCCCCCCCCTTAAGAAGGGAACCAGTTCAGGGGGCTGCGGAAAAGGTCACCGGGGTGCAGTTTTGGCTGCCCAACCCCTTGCGGAGCTGAGCTGGACTCCAAATGAGGCCAGAGTCACTTCTGGTCCCAATAAACCCCTTGAATTCTGAGTTAATGTGGCTGCTGTGGTTTTTCATGACTGTGGAGTGAACTTCAACTTCTGTCCAGCCTGCAAGCGAGTGACCTCTGAGACACCTTCGTTGTGGTGGGTTTATTTTGCAGAAGGCGCAAGGCAGCTTCTCTCTAGGAGGTCAAAGAAAGAACTAACAACTGAGAAAGAAGCAGGGATG